CTCATACAACTCTTATCACAATCCATACACACATCAATTGTGTGAAGCACATTTGTACATTCATTGCCCTCATCATTCTCCAAACAGGGAGACTAATACTCTTCATGAGAGCAGAAAGCTTCATTTTTCTTGTGTGGGGTTGCTGGTGGGTTGGACCTGCTGAACTTGTGTTTAGCAGCCCAACGTGTAGCCCAGAGAACTTTAAAAATCTAGGGGAGAGCAATGGCTTCATTAACCTGTTTTTTTTTTTTTTACCATTTTAAAAATGAATCTTTCTATTTGAGATGCATGCAGTTGTAAGCAATAAAACAGAAAATCCATATACATATTATCTAGTTTCCTTAATAGCAAGATCTTACTAAAACATAGCACAATATTGAAACCATTGACATTGATAACATATACCTTTTCTGCATCAATTGATGTGATGTTATTTTTCTTCTTTTGTGTTAATACAAATGGTTACATAGAATTTTGGATATTAAACCAACCTTCACTTTCTAGGCTGAATCCCAGTTGGTTATAGTATATAATTAATAAAAATATATCAATGAAATCTATTTGCTAATATTTTGTTAAGAATTTTAAGATCATCTATATCCAGGAGAGATATGGGTAGGCAGTTCTCTCTCTCTCTTTGTAATATTTTTTTTCTTCTGCTTCTGCTGACAGGATAATTGTGACCTCATAAAATGAATTGGGAAATGATCTTTCATCATCTGATTTTGTAAAAGAAATTGTGCATGCCATTTTTTAAAAGAAATTGTGCACGCAGGAGTGGGAATAGCAATACCAGATGGGTAGGCAGGGGGCGGGGAGGAGAGGAGGAAAGGGGAATCAATCATAATGATTGACACACAACCACACACACACCCCCTCCAGGGGGAAGACTAACAGAAACCACGGGGGAAGGGAGACAGTGGTCTGTGTGAGATATGAAAATAATAATAACCTATAATCTATCAAGGGGTCGTGAGGGTGGGGGGCAGAGGGGGGAAAAGTGGAGCTGATACAAGGGTTCAATAGAAAGTAATTGTCTAGAAAAGAATGATGGCTGTGGAGGACTGAGAAGGTGAGGCAGCTCTGTACCATGCTGCCGTCCACTGGTTAAGGCCTCCGAAAGTGAAGGGTCGCCAGGGCAGAGGATGCCCCTCTGCCACCTTCAGAGGGGCAGGGCTGTGCTTGCCGACATTGTACAAAAAAGAAGAAAGACAAGAATGATGGCAACAGAAGTACAAATATGCTCGATGCAACTGATGTATGGACTGTAGTAAGAATTGTAAGAGCCCTCAATATAATAATCCAAAAAAGAAAGAAAAGAAAAGAAATTGTGTAGAATTTGCACGAATTCTTTCAATATTTGGTAGAATTCTCCACATGGACCTGAAGATTTCCTTGAAGCCACACATCCAGTTTCCTGAAGAAGTTGAGGGATATTCAACTGTGGATAGTGGTAGTGTGAGGTCTATCGCAGCGGTCACGTGTGGAGTCGTTGGAAGCGTTCCTTTATTATCTTGTGGATGTCTCACAGAGACGGTAACAATATCCTCTATTTCACTCCTGACACAGGTAATTGGTATCTTCTCTCTTTTCAGCTCTGTCAGTCTTGCTAGTGGTTTGATCATTTGATTGATCCTTCCAAAAAGCCAGCTCCTTTTTGCATCGTGTTCCGCCACTCCAGGGGTCTCAGGGCAGCCACTTCTTTCTTTTCAATTAATGCTTCCTTTCTTTCTACTTTTCACAGTTAACATTTTGTTTCTCTTACAACGACCCTTTCCTGGTCTCTCTCCTTTCCTCTTCTGCGTTTTGGCAGCCACTCCGCCATGCCCTCCTTTGAGCCTTGTTTTCAAAAGGTGACTCCATCTCGCTGGTATCTTGATAAAACTTCATTTTTATAAAGCAAATGTGAGTTCCAAATCGTTCTAGTCACATGACAGCAAATGTGTCTAACAGAAACTTAAAATTTTCTGCTGTCAAGTTCGAGTAGGCTAAGAGTGCACTGTCGTGGTGTCCTGGAAGGAACACGAGGCTTAGCAGCCTAGTGCTTGGACCTAAGACATGTGTCTACTGCTTACTGTCTCAGTTTCACCTATTTCAACCACATGAAGCTATCAGATACATCTGGAAGCAGCATGAAGCTTCCAGGGACTTGCTACATCCTGCTTGTCATCCCTGGAGTGTGACAGAATTGGCCCTGTGACTGCCCCTTTGCCATATTTCCACTCTGCCCAGCCAGGTCCACCTGCGCGATTCGTTGTCAGGAACAGGCCTCCCTTGAGTATTGCCATTTTGACAGCTGTACTTCTGAACTCTTCTCTGCATAGAAAGCTCTCTACTACCTTCTATGCCCCCCGGAATTCTAACAACCCACCAGGGAGTCCTAGTATCAAGTGCTACTTGTCCTGTGATATCTGTTTCTTTCAGCCTCCCAGATCAAACGAATGACCCCTCTAATCTCCATTCGTGACCCCTCTCCCTGACATTTATTAGGAGTGCTGGCTCTTGTCAAGACACACCAGGGTTCTGCCGTTTCCTGGTTGCATGACCTTGGACAACTGACTTCATCTCCCTGTATCTCCATGAGCTCTTCTGTAAAATGAGATGTCTTTTCTACCTGACAGGGTTGCTGTGTAAAGATTTTTTTTAAAAGTCTTCAAATCTCTTCAGCACCAAATAAACACAAAGAATTTTATTGACCTCTCAATAATTAAAATCGAGGTCAAGTTGACAAACACTCGTGAAATGATGAGGTAATGGGAACACTGCATAACTGTAGGGAAACTAAGAATGATCCCAGTGTGGGATCAAAAGGACACACATCAAACGGTCGCTCTGAATGATGGTTAGCTCTTGATGATGGGATAATGGTTGCTTTTTATTTTCTATAGTTTGCAGTTTTAGAGTGGGAATGGCATAGATGTATAATTAGAAAATATCTCTCAAAAAGAGAAAACTCAAAGTCTGCTGGCTAGTTCGCTTGGATTTATACTCCACCATGCACTATGAAGGCTTCCAGAAGTGCATAAAAAAGCAAGAAAAGAAGGAAAACACCAGGAGAATGAAACAAAGGGTAACATGAGGACAGGCAAGAGCTCAGGCATCATGATGGCTTTCTTTTCTGTTCCGAAAGTGTCCTTGGTTGTCTCTTAGTCGTGAGTTTAAGAGATACGATTCATTTTAGGAAAGGAAGGAACCGTTTTACCGTACAATGTAAACATTTTAGACTCAGACTTTAAAAGAGAGAAGAATTTTCGGCTGGTTTTGAATGGCTTAAAGATTGAGATTATGTTGTTTGTGACACAGCCGGCAGCCCCAGGACAAGTTTCCCAGTGGGATTGTAGGGGAAAATGCCACAAGGGTGTGGCTTTAAAGAACAGAGATTGTCACACCGTTCTGGAGGCTCAAAGTCCACATCGAGGGCATCAGCAGGGCCAGGTCCTGTCTTTCTCTGAGCTCTAGGGGAAAACCTTGGCCTCTTTCCGTTTTGTAGCCTCATATCTTTCTTGGCATTCCTGGTTGTAAATGCATCTTCACATGGCCTCTGTCGTCCTATGTCTGTGTCTATGTTTATTGCATTCTTTTTAAAAAATCACTGTATTGGGGGCTCGTACAACTCTTTTCACAATTCACACACCCATCCGTTGTGTCAAGCACATTTGTACATTCGTTGCCATCATCATTCTCACAACATTTGCTTTCTGCTTGAGCCCTTTGTATCAACTCCTCATTTTCCCCCTCCCTTCCTGCCCCCTTGTTTTATTCTTTTATAAAACATCTCTCAGCAGGGTTTAGGCTTAGGACCCACTCTGCTCTTATATGGCAAAAGAAAAAAAACAACCTTATTTTGAAACAGAACCATTTTGATAGGTAAGGGGGTTAGGGCTTCAACCTAACTTTTTGGGGAACACAATTCCATCCATGACACACGATTACTATCATTTACATTGTATTATATTTGCACGGTTCATTGCAAGGCACAAATATAGGCATTAAAATATATCTTTGTATATCTGGTGTGTTAGTCCGGGTAGACTAGAGAAACAAACTCATAAACATGCATATGTGTATGAGAGAGTTTTCTATAAAGGATAATTATACATTAAGAAAGCATCCCAGCCCAGTCCAGATAAAGTCCATAAGTCTGAGATTAGCCCATATGTCCAATACCAATCTATAAAGTCCTCTTCAGACTCACGAAACACATGTAATGACGCTGAATTCAGGAAGATCACAGGCCAGTAGGTGGGAAGTCTTGTGAGTCCGGTAAGCATCTCAGCACTGGCAGGGGTCTCCACGTGGCTTCTCCAGCTACCAGGGCTGCATCATAGTAGGCCCATATGGCTTCTCTATCCCAGGGCACTAGTATAGTTCCATGTGTCTTGTCAGCTGCATTGTCTCCCAGGGAGTGAGGAGAGAGAGAGAAGTGTCTCCTGCCTCCAAGAAGAAAATACCGGAGTTTTCCCAGAATCCTCAGGGGAAACCCATACCCACACAGAGGTCTCATTGCCTATGATCTGATTGACACACTAGACTCCACCCCTTCACTCTGAATCCTCTCAAATCCCAAATTGACAGCAGATTATGTAACTAACACACCTGGTTAGTTTTGATTTTGCTTATCTCTTGTGAACACATTGCATGAAGTAGTCTGGAAACAAAGAAACAAGTCTAAACTGGGAATGAAGTTCTTATCCTAGCCCTGCCGGCAACGAGCTGGTCCCCGGTGGCATAGTGGTTTATGCATTGGGATGCTAATCAGAAGGCCATCAACCATGAACAGCTCCATGGGAGAAAAAGAAGTCACGATACTGTAACAAAGTGTTTTTGCTTTGATACTTAACCGGTAAATATATGCACAGAGACCTATAAGCCCTATTATTATATATTAATATATTGACATAATCACTTGACAATATTTATAGTGTCATTTGGACTTATGTTAGACAATGTTTTCCTTAGACTTGTATGATATTAAAGTCATTGAAATGTCTTTTTTGCAGAGAGACCTCTCTCCCCTAAGGCTGTCAAAGGACTTGAAACTGCTCCGCTTACAAAGAATTATTATACTGTGGTGAGTGTCCAGATGGTGAACAGAAATTTTCTTGACTCTCCTTATGGAATCTTCTTACTTGTCCAACCACTGATGTGTGTGTGCAACACAAACAGAAAGCTGGATAAAGTGGCGTTAAAAGGGTTCAGTGTCAAAGACATTACAATCGAGCTCTTCTACTTAAAAGCCTCCTTATGGATGTCCAGAAATTCTAGATACAAGTGTATCAGAAAATTTCAGAGTAGCTCAAAACTTCAGAATAAGGCAATTTAAAGAAAGGTGAAAGAGAAGTTGATTAATGTGGACGCATTGTGGTGAAATTTGGGTGTCCTTGGGCAGCGCAAATGGTTGAGCACTCAACTACTAACTGAGAGGCTGGCAGTTCAAATCCACTTAGAAGTACCTGGAATGAAAGGCCTGGCTGTCTATCCTCCAAGAGTCATAGCCCTTGAAGCCCTACGGAGCACCGTGCTACCATGACACACGTGAGGTCCGCATGACTCGGAATTGACTTGAGGCAACTTTGCGTGTGTGTGTGTGTGTGTGTGTTGAAATTCAGCAGTTAGATATAGCCTCATCAGCTGTTTAAAAGGTGGGTCCCATGATTCCTGTAATGCCATGAGTTTTAAGTGATTGCATTCTATGATTTCTCTTAGCATCAATCAATCCATTATTATGTTCTCTGAAATATTATCCACCCCGTTCTTGAGGAGTGCCCAGAAGGAAGACTGCCCTTGGCACTGAGGGACGAATGAGCTGACTCCGGCTTGAACACAGAGAGAGATGTCAAAATATATTAGCTATAAAGAGAGCATGTGCAACACTCAAACTAAGTTCCCGTTTGAAAAAGAAATCACATCGCTCTCTTTACTCCACGTTCTGCTTTTTCTCATGTCTCCCTTCTAGTCACAAATGAAAAGGTCAAGTCATCATTTCCTCAAAGTTTCCCTCACGCCTCCCCACCTCTGCTGAAAGCCACCTGCAGTTGTTAACCCACTGTCCTGGGCAGGCTCCTTTCATTTGGTGCAAGGACAAACCATTTTGAAACATCTCTGTGCAATTGTTTACATAGCTCACAGTTCCTTTAGGTTCCTGTCATCTCTTTCCCGTTTCTATTGCCAAGTTTAAGGACGCCTGGTGGTGCTGCTGGGGAAGTGTTGGACTGCTCACTAAGGCATTCCACTCGGAGGGAAAAAGATGAGGCTATCCTGCTCCCGAAAAGAAAAACCCTAACCCTCCTTGAAAATCCTAGGTCGGGTGGCTAGGGGTCGAAAGGAACTCAATGGCACATGGTAATTGTCGATTCTATCTCATATAGCTCTTAAAAGAGCACAATGTTCAAGGTAGTCCTTGCTTTACTAGTGAAGCTTAAAGACAACTTAGAATATAATTTTGGTTTCAGGTCTAAAGATGATTTCAGGGAGGTCATTTCTGTCATTTATCCAACCTCCATGACTCCACAAAGCCTAGGGTTCATGAGAATTTGAAATTCTGTTGTGCATTTCTTCACTTTTCATCAGGATTCTTCTATGGAATCTGTGACCAAAATGTTTAGTGGTAGTCACGCACCATCCAATTCTTTTGGTCTCATGGCAAAGGAAGCAGATTTTTTAAAGTCATTTTATTGGGGCCTTGTACAACTCTTACCACAATCATCCATCCATCCATTGTGTCAAGCACGTTTGTACATTTGTTGCCCTCATCATTCTCAAAACATTAGGAAGCAGATATTTGAAGAGGCAATTAGCCACACATTCTGTTTCCTCCTCCGAGTGCCAACTTTTCTCCTTCCTCAATGGCTACAGGTGAACTGAGGCCAGTGGTTTGTCTTGGATGGCTGCCTGCAAGCTCCTTAAGACCCTGGGCACTACACAATGAACTAGGAGGTAGAGCAGAAGCACTAAACACGGTATTAGGCCAGTTAACCCAGTGTTCCATGAAACGATGACTCTAAATCCCTACACTAGGGCATCAAATCCCACGAGGCTTTTACAGTATATAAGCAACCTCAGCAGCTACTTGGGAAAACTAATCATTGCTGCAAATATGTCTACCACATAACTTTCGCCAATGCCACTTTTGACAGATGTACAACTTATTGGCAGTAATTACAATAATCAGCGATGTGATACTGCCTTTAATCAATGTATTTGTTCCCGTCGCTGTTGGCCCTCCTTTTCCTTTCCCTCTCCCTCCTGTACCTGGTCAACACTAATAAACTTTGCTCTCGGTCCAGTTTTCCTTGTATGCTTGGCGTATTTCCCTCAGTCTGTCTTAAAATTTTAACATTTATTTTTATTTTTCTTAAAGTTTTATTGGCATGTCGTCCACATATCATATAATGCAACGGTCCCATCAAATTAAGAAGAGTTGCTCAATCATTACCACAATCAAGTTTAGAGCATTTTCTTCTTCCTTGTGCTCATTGCTATTCATGTAATTATTTTTTAAATTATGGCAAAGATATACGGCAAACCATCCTCCAATTCAACAACTCCTCCATGTATAATTCGGTGCCTTTGCTTAGTATAATGGTGCCAAGCTCCATCTACACAGAAGCACCTATTAAGACATGTCCTCTTACTAGCCGAGTCTGCACTACATTTTGTTTGTCCATTCACCAATCGATGAGCATTTAGGCTGTTTCCAACTTTTGGTTACCGTGACCAATGAACATGGGGGGACAAGTGTCTTTGGGGTCTATCCGTCACGTGGAATTGCTGAGTCAGATGGTAGTTCTAGTTTTAGCTTTTTTGAGGAACTGCCATAGGGTTTTCACCATGACTGCACTGTTTTGCATTCCTACCAGCCATGGGCAAGGGTTCCAATTCCCCCACCCACCAGCATTTGTTGCTTTCTGTTTGTAATTTATCTTTGGCACCCTATGCCACTGCCACTGACAGCAGGTTGATTCGGACTCATAGTGATCCTATAGGACAGAGGAAAACTGCTTCATAAGGATTTTGAGGCTGTACATCTTCCTGGAAGTTGCCGGCCCCATCTTTCGTCCGATGGAGCAACTGAAAACTTTGAACCAGTGCCTTTTCCGTTGAGTGGCCCTAGACTTCACCCCCACTCCCACCAGGGTTCCTTTAGCCCGCTTCGTGGGAGAGAAATGGTATCTCAGTATGGTTTTCAATTTGCAGATGTCCGATGGCTCATGATGCTGACCATCTTTTCATGTGCTTGGTGCTCATTGGAATGCCCACTTTGGAGAACTGCCTGTTCGTCTCCTTTGCCTATTTTAGGACTTGGCCATTTGTCTTTTTGTTGTTAGGTTGTCAAACTTTTATGTGTATTTTGGTTATCAGCTTCCTGTTGGATATGTGATTGTTTTCAGAGACATTCTCCCAAGTGGCTACTTGTCTTATCATTTTTTGATAAAAAAATAAATTTTTAGGAAGCCTCATTCATTCACTTTGCCTTTTGGTGTGTGTGCTTTTATTATCATATGGGACAATTCATTGTTGAAAGCTACACCTGACTGTTGCCCCTGATTATTCTAAGAGTTTTATGATTGTTGCTTGTACATTTAGAATTTAATCCATTTTTAATTTGTTTTTGTGTATTACCAAGAACCCTGTTTAATTTTCCTCCATGTGAAAATCCAATTTTCCCACCACCAAATGTTGAAGAGACTCTTCTTTACCCACTGAATAGGCTTGTCAAGAATCAGTTAAGCACAGATGTGTGGGTTGATTTCTGGACTCTTTGGTTCCATTGGTCTGTGAGTCTGTTGTTATACAAGCACCAAACCACTTTGATTATTATAGTTGTATGCTTTAAAGGAAATGTGAGTCCTCATTCTTTGTTTTAGCTATTCAGGGACTCATACCTATTCCAATAAGTTGAGGATGTTTTTTTATATTTCTGAAAGAAGGTTGTTTAATTTTGATTGGGACTGCACTGAATCTATCTCTTTGGCAAGTATTGACAACTTTAACTATCAAAATTTCTAATCCATTAATATGGATCATCTTTCCATTTATTGGCGTTGTTTTTAATCTTTCAGCAGTGTTTTACATATAGTTTTCATTGTACAAGTCCCTCACAACCCTGATTAGATATAATTATAGATATTTTATTCTCTAAGATGCTATTGTGCGCAGAATTGTTTCTTTAATTTCTCTTTCAGATTTCTCATTTCTGGTATTTAGAAACCCAACTAAGTTTTGTTGGTGGTGGTGTTGACTTTTTGCTACAGCTTCGTAAATTCCTAGATTTGTGCTAGAGGGTTTTTTAAGACTCTGGGACTTTCTATATATCCACTTATATCATTTGTAAATGAGATGGTCTAACTTATATTTTCCAATCTCGTCACCTTTTCTTTCTTTTGCTTGGTTGGCTGCTCTGGCAGGATTGTCAAGACAACATTGAATAGAAGTAGTTAGAGAGGACATCGTTAGCTTGTTCCCTTTTTTTGATCAGAAACTTCAAGAGATTTTTACTGTTAGCATTTGTGGAACAAACTTCTAGACAGGAAGCCAACAGGATAGCTTTAAAACACGAGAAATTACGGGTCAGTTTTGTCAGTACCATATATACTTGTGTATAAGCTGAGTTTTTTAGCACATTTTTTTGTACTTTCCTTTTTAAAAAAAATCATTTTATTGGGGCTCATACAATTCATCACAATACATAGATCAATTGTGTAAAGCATACCTATACATTTGTTGCCCTCATCATTCCCAAA